TTATAGTTACAAGCTGATAGCTGATAGTAATACACGAGATAGAAAGAGATTATTTAGGCAGATAGTGAAGGCAAAATAGTCCTTGGCAGACCCCTCTCTGTAGCAGAGAGCTATTCTCTTTCACCTGTTAAATTTCTGATCTTAACCTCACTCTTTGTATGTCTGCATCCTTGATCTCTATGGCCGTCAGACAGCAAACCTCAGGTATCTCCCCAGACAACAAGGCTGCTTCAGTGGGAGGGTGTTTTGGGCTCACAAGTAGATAGAAAGGAGAAATGAAAATGAGGCACAACCCAATTTAGGAAAGATCACACCAAAGTCATCTTGTGTCCTGTTGAATTGCGTGAAGGGAGCTTTTGCTAATAGCATAGCATTTATCTTTTATTTATTGTTAAAATACTGGGAATGTATAGCATATTTCCCCCACCACACATGGGTCTGGGAAAAAGTCAAGGCTTCTTAATGATCAATACCCTCAAAATGGTGTACAGATAAACAATTATGATTATGTCAACAATGAACCTGTCCAAAGGCATAGGGATTTTGATGAATACCAGTGTAGTGACAGCACACCAGAAAAGAGACACTTGAGAGACTGGGATTTTGCTCACAAGGGACTAGGATCAAGATGTTCATTTTTTTGCTAATCATCAGTGTTATAACGTCTCCCAAGAGGGGTTGGAGTTCATTAACCGGGTGCCTGGAACAAAACGAAGACCATTTAATGATCACCAGCCTCACAGTGACCTCCATGAACCAGACCCTGGAGATGATTTTGATTTTGTTAGCAAAGCTTGTGGACAAAAGATGCATACTGTTCATAACCAGGCCTATAGGAGCTTTCAGGAACACTTCCAATGAAAGATTTTGGTTTTGTTAACAGAGGCTGGAGACGAAAACAACTCTTCCATATAGCTGTGAGTACTCACCTCATGGGGATTTTCAGAACCAGTTACCTGTACGAGGTTTTCATTACTTCAGTAGAAGTGGTTTGCAAAGGTAAAGACCTTTCTACCAACACTGTTCTCACAATGAAATGAATTTGGAAGATATAGAATGTACTGATAAAGTATCAGATCATACACTGGGACCTTTACATGACCATTCCAATAATGATTTTTCAGAGAAAATGCCCTTGAAAAAAATGTGTTAATAGAGGTTGTGGACAAAGATCGCCACCTTCTCAAAAATTTCAAAAACAAATGGAGTTAAGAAATTTTGTTTTCAACAATGGAACTGAACCAAGGCAAATATTTTACTATTACCACCCACCTAGTGAGCCGCAAGAATAAATGCCATCAGAAGACTTGGACTTTGACCAAGAAACATTCTTACAAAGACCAAGATCTTGTCAGGACCACCCACCTCCTATTAACATAAATCCTGATTGGTATTTAAACAAGTCAGTCATTTTGTTCTCTACACTAAGGAATGGTATTTTATTTCAATGAAACACTCAAACTTCTTTCAAATTAGGGCATTTGTATAAACATTCAAAAGTGGTATAAAATTATAACTCAAAACTAAAATTCATATTTGTTGCGCTGTAGATTCAATTTACAACCAAGGCTATTTCTGATTGCTATGAATTGAAAATACCCCATTAAGTTATTTCTCAGGATTGAAGTAAATATAACTTAGATTTAAATAGTTTAATTATTGACCATAAAGAATATCAGAAACAGGCCAGGCACAGTGGCTCACATCTGTAATCCCAGCACTTTGGGAGGCCGAGGTGGGTG